AAGGGAATCTATCACTACTGGACTTTTTTGTAGTTTCAGGGTTCCTTTTCTCACTTTCAGTTGCTTAAGAATACCCCTACTGTTGACCCCATATTCATCAACCCCAGTTTATGAATAGTGGGTGGGTCTTAGTGGGGAATCATCACTTTTGGAGGGGAACACCCCCTATTCATAAACTGGGGTTGACAATTCTGGGGTCAACATTACCCGCTTGTTTGTGTTTTTTTGTTCGGAAAACCTTTGTCAAAGTCCATACCTCCCTTTTAGTCAAGGGTTCACATCATACCCTATCATACCTTTGGCTGGTTTTTACCAAAAATCATGATTCGAGGGTTTCTTAGCTTGTGAAAAATAACTCGTCCATCCACAGTATGTTTTATATGTCCCTTGAGTTCAAAGGGAGCCCTGTCACAAATATGAGATCTGGTCCGGGCTTTCCAAACGGATTGGGAAACCACAGCAGACCCTGGGAAATGGAAGCAAGGGCCATTTGCGGTCCATATCCTGGTGTAATTTTGACCCAGGTCCCATTTTATGGTCCCAGTGGTCCAAAGCGAGACGTTTTGACCTTTTGGGTGTTCACCTTTGGGTCTATCTTTAGCTAGGTCCCCCAGTAGTGCCCTTTTACCCTTTTTCGGGGGAGGGTTCCCCTAACTAAAATGGACTACAGAAAAAAGTTGGTACCAAATTATTCTAACTCTCTCTACTGGAGCACCTAGATAAGCTTAGAGTTGAATTTATGGTTTCTTTGGGCAACTGCCCTCCCCTCCAAAGTCACACGAAAGTCCCTTTACAAACGGCATGATCTTCAAGGCAGCCTTGCTGAGGTACCCGGGGCCTTTCTGGGATGATTGAAATCTTCCAAAATCCTTGTGCTTCGCCCCCAAAATGCGGGCTGGGGGCAGGAAACTCATTGGCTTGATGGTTCTCAGTAGGGAATGAGTTGCAATGAGCCCAAACTGAACCATCCAACATCTTCCAACTTGAAAAGAGATCCCCTTGAAGCATGTTCAACCTCGGATTCCACAGTGGCTGGGTATGTGGGTGAAGGTCATGGAAGAAAGTGACATGAGAGTGACATGCCCCAGGAGAGGAAGGAAGGTCACCCATCATTTGTTCCCACCAGTTGAACCTGAACCTCCCGTCATTTGTTAACTCACAGAAAGATTCACCAGGGCGACAAGAAACACATAATTAACTTATCCATTCTCACCCTCCTTGTCAGAACTACTAAATGGTGGAGGATGGACATGACCAACATAAATTCCTTGAAAATGACTATCTTCTTCACATTCGGTCCTTTCTTTGGTAGATCAAGGGGGTTTACGAGAGGCCCCTCTTTTATGAACCTACCTTTTTGGGTTGATGTTTTTGTGGGGGGGGGCAAGCTAGGGGGAAATCGACTTTTTTTGAAGGTCCTATTGCGACACACCCTTTTTTCATACTTTCGTCCAATGAACAGGGTAGACTCCTAGAGGGACCCTCACGCATCGTGCTCTTTGTTTTTTTCCAAATGGGCGGCGGGTAAGCTAAGAAATGAAAGGGCACAACACTTTCCAGATCCCTTTTCAAGGCGGAATCAACGAGACCAGGCGAAGGGAAACCAACTAGCAGGGATACAGTGAGGGGGAACCAGGGATACGGGAGGATTTCCCCGTTTGATGCACCTTGACTAAGTTTGATATGGGAAATGGCGCCAAGTTGGAATCCCCCCCAAAACCACCGCTCCCTCCGTATCCCCGCGGAATTTCGTTTGTCCACACCTGGCTTTGTGCAATCTCCGCCCAAGAATGCATGGAAGCAGAACCAGACCAGTCGAAAACAAGGCCTCCCCAAACAAGAGAAACCCAACTCAACCGAGCTAAGAGCTGATCCGCCATTGATGTGAAAACTCCAGGAAAGTCAGTGGTCCAGCTGGACAGCTGCAGCTTTCAGGGGATTTCCATAAAGAAATGAGATCCATCCGAGTGGCAACCACATCCGCCTGACCTCCTGGAGCTAATGAAGAAGCCCTTTTAGCTGCTTCGCTAAAAGGAAGGGCTTGGATTGTGCAATCATATCCTCAGCGAAGCTTTATATATATATATATATATTCGATGGAAGAGCACATCAACCTGAGGCCTATTTGCTGATTCAGAAGCAGGTGCCGGGCGCCTTCTTCAACGTCTTCGCGGGCATCTATGCCATGGTCTTCCTGATCTGGCTACTGACGCCTGAACCGCAGAGCGCATGAGTAACGAGTAACTAGGTCCCCCAGCTACGTGCCCTTTCTCACCCCCTTTTTGGTTGGGAGGGTTCCCCTGCTAAAATAGACAAAACAGAAAAAAGACGGTACCAAATTATTCTAAGCAACCTCTACTGCATGGTTGTTGTTGGGAAACCTTTTACATTTTTGCTTATTGTGGTTTAGTGGTTGCAATCCCCACGTAACTGCTATAGTTTTTGTTTGTTGCTCCCCTTCCAACGTCAACCTCAAATCTGGAGGACCTAGGTAAACAAATTTACACAACCACCATCAGGAATCAGAATTATGCCCCACCCCAGAGGATCCAAGCACAGGATGTCTTCCATTTGCTGAAACGAATATTTTATATGATTTTTCCAGTAGTTCCATTTGCTGGAACTACTGAACTACTATTTCCCCCTGAACTAGTGATGTTTCCTTTGTTGGCTTTAAAGGGAATCGATTTCACTACTGGATTTTTGTTCCGGGGGCTTAAGCAAGTGGAAGATGTTGTTTGGGGAAGAGGAGGGTAAGGTGGACCCCGAAGCCGAAGGGACCCCACGACGCAGTGGTTGCCTTACACTTTGTTTTGCAAAAGGTCAGCCTCGAGGATAGCAAGGCAAAGATGGGAATGGGCGTGGGATGCAACTCAAACTCAAACTAAGTACTGATCATAGGAGCCTGTTATATTTGTTGTATCTATTATATTATGACTGATACTATATTGTTTTATTTGTGTTATCTATTATGTATTTATTTGTAATACTAAACTGATACTATTATATTTTGTTTTATCTAAGCGTGTTTGTTTTGTTGATGGTGCACCTGAAAACTCGGGCAATTGGAGGGTGGTAAGCAACAATCCCAGCCATATTATATTCTGATTAATTCTTTACATGGTATAATTTTAGCGCCGGGTTTTGATTATGACTCACTTGGCATGTGTAGGAAAACAAAGAAACACAACCCCTGTTGGGCACCCCAATCGAGCAACCGGTCTCCCATGCTGCTTCGGTTGCGTTTGTAGAGAACGTTGCAGCCTTCATCTACTTCTCACTCCCTGTGTTTGTGGACTTCAGTCATTTTTTGGGTCACCATTTTAGTGGCAAACAGAACGTTTGGTTACTGTTTTGGGCCAGTCCACTCAGAAAGTCAGACTCGGGGTACCCTTTCTATGTAAGAAACTAGCTAAAGGATAGTATCCAGGACAAGTTCACCAAATCCACTGTTTTTCTGTTTTTCTCTGTTGTGTGTATGTGTGCGGCGAACTTGCCGACTCGCGATTCTTTCTTTCATCTCAGGGTTCTCGCCGTCTGGTTCCTTAGGTTTATAGATTTCAGTGTTTCGTAATGACCCCATTTTTTTAAGGGTCATGGAGACTCTAGGTTGGCTTGGTTTAGTGGTTGGGTTTCCGGATTTTTATCCTATATACAAGCTTTGCGCAGGGGAAAAGTTAGACTTTAGCAGGTCTCAGGACAGAAAGCAAAAGGAGGCCGCCCATTTTGTGGGTTCCGGGCTGTTTTTATGGACATCGCTTCCAAGTTTAGCAAGGGCGCCATCTTGGCCCCTGTGTTTTTTTGGCTGGCACCGCAAAACCGGGTACCCAAAACGGGCTCCCCTCTGTAGAAGAACAAAACGGAACCCCGCCCAAATTCTACTCCCTGAGCTCCTGGACGTGCTCAACAGAAAACCCATGATCCAGGCTTTGTCCCTGTGTGTTGCTTGCGCTTGGATGCACTCGTCCGAGTTCCTGGACTTTCGTAACCTTTCGGGGTCACCATTTTGGTGGCAAGCAGTTCCGGCTTGGCCGAACTTTGTCTAGGGGTACCTTCCATTTCCATTCTTTCCAGGGATCCTTCTTTTCAGGAAACCATCAAAAATCAGCCAGCCGGTTTTTGAAGAGAACAAGTGTTGAAAAGAATGAGGAAGGACTCAGCCCCCTGGGACGTTCGGCCAAGCTCGATGGGACTTGAGAAGCTCAGCAGTCGTTAGGATGAAGGCGGACGTGGGGAACATGCTCTTCTTCCTGAAGGCCTCGGCCGTGACCTACGCCGCCACGACCTGCTCCTTCGACTGACAAGAAGAGGTGGCAATGAGAAAACGAGCGACCCGCGCCCGGCGCAACCAACAAGGAAAGCAATGGGGGGTGCATATACCCAGTGGCCCAGTGGTGCTTCGCAGAGGGGGGGTGGCCCTGGGTGAAATGTGGGGAGTCAGACCACTTTTGGAACGGAACACACCCTTGTGAATAAACTGGGGTTGGCTAGCCACTTGCCCAGTGGTGCCCTGTTTTCAACTTTGTTTGGGAGGGGTTCATTGTCAGCATCCAACTTGGGTCCTTGTTCCTTCGACTGAATGAGGCAAGAAAAGGTGGGAGAGAACGAGCTCACCCATGCCCTGGGATTCAAGCAACAATTAGAACAATGGTTGGGTTCGTATAACCTAAGGATTGTCAGCCTCCAACTAGGGTCAACCATTCTTTCAATGCAAATCGGTTGACCCCTAGCGCACGGAGTTCCGGCTTGGAAGTTCAACTTGCTTCGAGTTGTGTGAGTTAGTGTAATGTGCCCATGTTGCAAATCACACTCAGCTATTTGTTTTTGTTTTTGTTGAGTCGTGAGTCACCTTGAAAGACCAATGGAGGAAGATATCTGGTTGTCATGTTGGCTGTTAGCTGGGTATTTCCTGCCCAGAGGCTCGTGGGCCCTCCTAGGGAGGGTCCGGGGCCCTCCTAGGGAGGGACCGGCCTGTTTGTCGGATACGGGGTTCTCGTGGGCCCCCAGTGCAATCCGGACGGGATGGATGTAACCAAAATGGCCTCGAATCACACCTCCCCTAGCAGTACTATCCGACGGTTATCCGACGGTTATCCGACGCCGGGCCCTCGTAGACCCTCAGTTTTGGGGGCCCCGGCCCAATTATCCGACGGTTATCCGACGGCTATCCGACGGCCATCCGACGGTTGTCCGACGGCTATCCGACGGCCATCCGACGGTTATCCGACGGTTCTCCGATGGTAATCCGAAGCTTGTTTGCAGCCCAAAGGCCCCCAACAAAAAACCAGCCCGAAACCTCCTACGACCGCGAGGGCCCGCGAGGGCCCAAGGGCCCGAAACATGAGTTGGGAGCGTCTGGGAGTAGAGTTTCTATTTTGTTTGCTGTGTGTGGCTGCCATGCTTTTTGTGCAGTTGGATTTTTTCTAGGCCTGTCACTGGCCTGCTTGGTCGGGCTGCTGATTCTCTTGAAGTGGGATGTTTGTAGTAGGGCTGTGTGGATGTCGCTTTCTTGGCGCAGTTGCTTTTCTTCAGGGCCTGTCGCTGGCCTGCTTGGTCCGGCTGCTGCTTTTCGTGAAGCAATATTTTTCCGAAGGGCTTCTAGTTTGCTTGTTCTGTGTGGCTGCCGTTTTTTGTTGGTTGTTGTGCAGTTGGTTCTTTTCAAGGCCTGTCACTGGCTTGCTTGGTCGGCCTGCTGCTTTTCGTGTTTTTTTTTCAGTGTAGAGATTGTTGTTTTTTGCTTGCTGTCTGTGGCTGCCGTGTTTTGGTGAAGTTGGATTTGTTTCAGCCAGGCCCTGGCCTGCTCGGTCGGGCTGGTGATTTTAGCAAAGTGGGATTTGTTGTAGGGCTTCGAATTTGCTTGTTGTGCTTGAGTGCCACTTTTTTGGTGCAGTTGGATTTTGTTCAGGGCCTGTCACTGGCCTGCTTGGTCGGCCTGCTGCTTTTTGTGAAGTGGGATTTTTCCCGAGAGCTTCTAGTTTGCTTGTTGCGTGTGGCTGCCGCGTTCTTTTTTGTGTAGTTGTTGTTTTTATAGGGGCCTGTCACTGGCTTGCTTGGTCGGGCTGCTGCTTTTCATCGCTTTTCGTGAAGTTGGATTTGTTTAGTAAAGCTTCTAATTTGCTTGTTGTGTGTGGCTGCCATGTTTTTTGTGCAGTTGGATTTTTGCTCAGGGCCTGAGGGCCTGTCACTGGCCTGCTTGCTTGGGCTGCTGCTTTTCGTGAAGTTGGATTTAGTTAGTAGAGCTTCCAATTTGCTTGTTGTGCGTGGCTGCCATGCTTTTTGTGCATGCTGTCACTGGCCTGCTTAGTCAGGCTGCTAATTTTCGTGAAGTGGGATTTTTGCAGTAGGGCTTCTAATTTGCTTTTTGTGTGTGGATGCCGCTTTTTTGGTGCAGTTGTTTTTGTTTCAGGGCCTGTCCCTGGCCTGCTTGGTCGGGCTGCTGCTTTTCGCGGTCTTGTTTTTTTAGTAAAGCTGCTGCTTTGTTTGTTGTGTGTGGCTGCCATTTTTTGTTGTTGCGCAGTTGGATTTCGTTCAGGGCCTGTCACTGGCCTGCCTGGTCTGCTGTTTTTCGTAAAGTTTGACTTTTTTGGATTTTTTAAGTAAGAGTTGCTACAGTAATTGCTTGTTGTCCGCGGCTGCCGTTTTTTTGTTCAGGGTCTGTCGCTGGCCTGCTTGGTTGGGCTGCTGCTTTTCGCAAAGTGTTTTTTTCTGGTTTCTAATTTGGTTGTTGTCTTTGCCTGCCTGTTTTCTGCAGATGTTGTTGGCAATCTTGCTTGCGAAGAGCTGTTGCCTCACGCAGGGCGGTGGGCGGTGGGCGGTGGGCGGTGGGCGGTGGGCAGGACATGCGGGTCATCAGGCGGGCCATGCAGGCCACAGCCGGACCAAGCAGGCCAGCGACAGGCCCTGAAGAAAAGCAACTGCGCCAAGAAAGCGACATCCACACAGCCCTACTACAAACATCCCACTTCAAGAGAATCAGCAGCCCGACCAAGCAGGCCAGTGACAGGCCTAGAAAAAATCCAACTGCACAAAAAGCATGGCAGCCACACACAGCAAACAAAATAGAAACTCTACTCCCAGACGCTCCCAACTCATGTTTCGGGCCCTTGGGCCCTCGCGGGCCCTCGCGGTCGTAGGAGGTTTCGGGCTGGTTTTTTGTTGGGGGCCTTTGGGCTGCAAACAAGCTTCGGATTACCCGTCGGATAGCCGTCGGATAACCGTCGGATGGCCGTCGGATAGCCGTCGGATAACCGTCGGATGGCCGTCGGATAGCCGTCGGATAACCGTCGGATGGCCGTCGGATAGCCGTCGGATAACCGTCGGATAATTGGGCCGGGGCCCCCAAAACTGAGGGTCTACGAGGGCCCGGCGTCGGATACCGTCGGATACCGTCGGATAACCGTCGGATAACCGTCGGATAACCGTCGGATAGCCGTCGGATAGCCGTCGGATAACCGTCGGATAGGGGAGGTGTGATTCGAGGCCATTTTGGTCGATCAGCGATCCATTGATCCCGTCCGTATTGCACTAGGGGCCCACAAGGCCCCGTATCCGACAAACAGGCGGGTCCTTTCAGGAGGGAGGGCCCCGGACCCTCCCTAGGAAACCCCACTTCATGCAAAGCAGGAGCCCAACCAAGCAGGCCAGTGACAGGCCCTCCAACTGCGCAAAAAAAAACGGCATTTGAACTCCCCGTGTAAAGAAACATCACTTTTGGGACCCGGGATTTTGAATTTTTGAATTGTTTGAACTCTCCAAGTACAGAAACATCACGCTGGGGACCCGGGGTTTTGAACTTTTTGAACTCCCCAAGTAAAGAAACATCACTTTCGGGACCCGGGATTTTGAGCTCCCCGAGTAAAGAAACACCCGGCGGAACATCACTTTCGGGACCCGGGATTTTGAACTCCCCAAGTAAAGAAACACCCGGCGGAACATCACTTTCGGGACCCGGGATTTTGAACTTTTTGAACTCCCCAAGTAAAGACACATCACATCACTTTAGGGGACCCGGGATTTTCAGCGTTTTGAACTTTGTTGGTCTCCCCAAATCAAGAACTAGGATTTCACAACCCGGGTTTTTGACCTTTTTGTCGGTCTTTCAATCTCCCCAGCCCAGGAACTCAGATTCGAGGGGCCCTGGATGTTGACCTAGTTGGTTTCTTCCAAAATTCGCAAGTAAAGAAGCATGAATTGAGCGACCCAACTTGCGTAACTTTCCACCAACCCACACTAAATGAAACAAGCGGCCCCTCCAAACAACCAACCAAAACTAAATGAAACAAGCGGCCCCTCCAAACAACCAACCCAAACTCAATGAAACAAGCGGCCCCTCCAAACCAGCAACCAAACCTAATAGAAAACCGGCCCCTCCAAACCACCAACCCAAACTACAGTAAATGGAAAAGCGGCCCCCTCCAAACCACCAACACAAATTAAATGAAACTAGAACCCTCAACCCAAACTAGTTGGAAAAAAAAACCAACCCAACCAAGCCAGCAACCCAAACTAATGGAAAAACGGCCCCCTCCAAACTACCAACCCAAACCAAATAGAAAAAACGGCCCCTCCACGCAACCAAACGAAACTAAATGAAACAAGCGGCCCCTCCAAACCAGCAACCCAAACTAAATTAAAAAAGCGGCCCCTCCAAACTACCAACCCAAACTAAATGAAACAAACGGCCCCTCCAAACTCCAAACCAGCAACCCAAACTAAATGGAAAAAACAGCCCCCTCCAAACTACCCACCCAAACATAATGTCAAAACCGGCCTCTCCAAACCAGCAAATGGAAAAGCGGACCCCTCCGACCAAACCACCAACGAAAATTAAGTGAAACTAGAACCACCAAGCAAAAGTAAATAGAACAAGCGGCCCCTCCAAACAACCCAAAAACTAAATGAAACAAGCGGCCCCTCCAAACCAGCAACCCAAACCAAATGAAAACAGCGGCCCCCTCCAAACTACCAACCCAAACTAAATGAAACAATTGCCCCCTCCAAACCAGCAACCCAAACGAATGCAAAACCGGCCCTCCAAACCACCAACCCAAACTAGATGGAAAAGCGGGTTAAATGAAACTAGAACCATCAGCCCAAACTAAATGGAAAACGCGGCCCCTCCAAACCTCTTCTTTGCAAAGCCAGGCCTTCCCCGTTATTTTTATTATGCTTGTGGGTTCTCAGACGCGCATTTTATTGTACCAGGTCCACATTGTATTGCGCCAGGATGATGCCATTGTTCGGGTTATGACTATACATGGCTATGGCTTTTAAGGGGCATGCAAAGCCCGACGCGGCGCGAACCTTGGTACGGAGGTATGTAACGGGGGCTCTTGTAACTCTGTAGCGAGAGAACAGTGCTTGACACTTCCACAATTCCAGCTCGAAAGTTGCATTTGTTGATTCACCCGGCTGCAACGTTTCTTCTGCTGAAGGGCAAGCTCTTTGCAAGTTATTTACATCAATTCTGCTGTTTTAACTGTGTGTTGTTATCTTATTTTCTATTTGTTGTCTTATCTATTTGTTTGATCTTTTATTATTTGTTATTTTTTATCTGTCTTTATCTCTTCCCAGTAAAAGAAACAGTAGATAATTACTAAGTTCAGATTAAGTGTCCGGTATCTAGACTATCTATTTGCTTTCTCTAATCTGGGCTATGTTGCCACGAGCCTTAGCCCCCCCCCCCCAAACCAGCCCGAGGGCCCGCGAGGGCCCGCGAGGGCCCGAGGGCCCGAAACATGAGTTGGGAGCGTCTGGGTGGGAAAGAAAGAACGGTAGAGACGAAGAAATTCAGTTTGCTCGCTCCACCAACATGGTCTCACCACTTTCGAGTTTCGAGTCACGTGCTGGACCGCGTTTCCAGCGTTGCCAGTCTCTGAGCCGGAGGCAAGGAGTTGCCAAAGTTTGTTCACTGTTCTTGGCATGTGTTTTGGTTTTTTAGTTTTTTGGTTCTGTTCATGTTTACTGGGGGTCTGCAAAAAACAAAGTTTTTGCTACCATACCAAGAGTAGAGATGGTTTGTGAGTTAGTGTAATTTTGCCCATGTTGATCGCACTTGCCAGCTGTTTGGAGCATTTGGAAGACCAAATGGAAGATGTGTTGCCACGGTGGCCGAATCTTTCTGGGAATCGGTTACAACTCAAGATTCAATTCAACCAACCAGACTCATTCACAAAAGCCGGTTTCGTTCGCCCCCTGCAAAAAATAAAAACACGCTTTGAGCCCATGAGTCAAAAAAAAGGTTGCATCGCCCTACGCCCCCCCCCCCCCCCTTAGAATGTACGTGTATGTGTGTATATATATATTTATGTATATGTATCTCTACACACAAAACAACGCAAGCAAACAACTCGCAAACAAAGAACCCCCCCCCTCCAAAAAAGAAGAGGAAGACAATGAACATGGGAAAAAAGAGAAAGGTGAGGCACCCAGCTCGGCCTTGGAGCCCCGTGGGATTTGTTTCGTCCGAGGCGTGGCGGTGGCGCTGCACCAACAGCTCTGGAGCGACCTCTCGGCGCCCTTCGCGGAGGAGTCGCGCGCGTCGCAACTCCTCCGCGACCTCTCACCTAACTTTTTTGGTTGGGAGGCTTCCCCTACTAAAATCGACAGTCTCAGTTGCCCAAACCCGACCTTTTAACCTTTTGGTTTTCCAATTTTGGTCTATTTTTAGTAAAGGCCCCAAAAAGTTAACCTTTCATTTCTGGGTCCTTTGGGCGACTGAGCAGTAGACAGAAAAAGTGGGGGCACCAAATTATTCTAACCAACCTCAAATCTGGAGGACCTAGTTAAAGGGGTGATGAGCCAAGCTTGGAGGGCAACGAACACTTTTGGAGGGGAACACCCCCACCCCCTATGAATAAACTGGTTGGTTGATGAATATGGGGTTGACATTAAGTGGTGAGAGTAAGCCTGGTTACGATCTACAAAAGCCATGGTTATAAGTCTCCGTCCGTGGCTTAAAACCAGGCTAACTAACCACTCACTAAGTCCCTGATCGCCCCTTTAAGCAGTCCATTCGCAAGGGCCCATTTTCTGGACCATCATGGTTGGTGTTAAAGGACAAACAAAGGAAACCAACATTTTGGGGGGCTCCCGTTGACCCATCCCCAAAAACGGCATTATCCCATCCAAGAAGAAGGGACCATCCAAATCTGCAAAATGCATAGTCTCTGCCTATTCTATAGCGAGCTCACCAATGCAGGGGTACAACGAGCTCACCATGACAAAGGTCCTTTACTTGGGGATCCCAACAAATACATCTTTGGAATTAGTGTGGATGTGGCGAATCTGTGGATCCACCCCTATACTAAAAGAGTACTAAAAGATTACTAAAACAGGACCAACAGGGGAAACACAGATGACATTACCAACAGATGAAGACTCAACGCATTGCCCATAGAAGGGCTATGTCAGGGGTATGCAAGTGGCACAAATCAAGGGTCCATTCACAGTGGCCCATTGGATTTGGCCGGAAGCCGGACGGGTTGCGATGAAGCTCGCTGAGGTCTCCCAAAACTAGCCTATAGTTTTAGGATAGGCTGAATATGAAGCAGCATGATAATATGTAAGCCACAATCAAAATCCGGGCGGACGATGGTTAGTAAGGGACAATCCCAACCACAAATTGATGCGGAACTCTTCTTGGTAGTTCTTTACATGACTCTGGGTAGACCTTTTTGTACGAGGTGTTGATTAGGACTCAGGTGGGTTTGCCTTGCAATGGGTTGGCACCCACACCCTTCCCCTATTCACAACTGGCTAACATGAGGGAACCCCTCACAAGAAAAACAAAGAGTGTGGTCTTCCTTCTGGTTTCCCTGGAAAAAAGTCACACCAACCAAACACCGGGTCATGGTTGTCGTTGGGCAACATTTTACATTTTGCTTATTGTGTTTAGTGGTTGAAATCCAAATCCACTTAACTGCTATTATTTTTCAATTTTAGCTCCCCTTCCAACGTGAACCAAGCTGGCTGCCCTGGAAAAAAAGGCCACACCGGGCCATTTCCACCGGGTGTCCGAGCCATTTCCAGCGGGTCTCAAAGTCGGAGCCTTCAAAAGTGGGATCGAAGTGTTGGAAAGTCGGGAGCGGGTGGATGGATCAACTTCTCTGGAGATCCAGAGACTCGCAGAGACTCGCAGGTTGGCACGGCGAACAAAAAAAAAAGACCGCTGGTTTCCGGTTGGCTTCCCTTTATCTCTGACGCAAGGGCAGACGCGCACAGCTGGTGCAGTGCGGCGCCTGCCAACGGTTGGCTTCCCTTTAAAAAGGAAAAACACACACACCAGAAAAAAAGGAGGTGCCACAAAACCAGAGAAGGCCCAGGACTTGGCCAATCTGTTCCTCTTGGTTTTTGGAGCAAGCAAAAGGGGTCTTGAACCGTTGTCCCTGAAGATAATTTCTTTCTCCACCAGTGAGTGAACTGTAATCACTTGGGTCAGCATTTGAGTAGCAACGAACCAGTTTCGACTTTACTTTTGCCCAAACAAAAGTGAGTACAATTTGCTGATAAGCATGACCTGGTTTGCCAGACACAAAGCAAACCACGCATTTCTGGACAGTCAGGTAGATGCAAGGAACCCTTCCTGGGTGCGTCTGTTCCGAATTTTGCTTTGAAGGGAAGCTGGTTCATTGGAAACTAGTTCCATCCGCAAAAAGTCAGGGGTTCGCCACAAGAGAGAGGGTACCTGAATTCCAACCTGTTGGAGGGCGGGTTCCCGTTTGTTTCTCCCACTTTTCCCATAAGCTCATGAGGTGTTGTGGATGGGGTCAAATCCCACTTTGCCCATGAGGTGTTTGGGGGGGGGGGGTCAAATGGTCAAATGAAATGGCTGGGCGGGGCGGGGGGGAGGGGAGGGGTTGCAAGAGTGGTTGGAATGAACCCGTGGCATTGTCACCCCTGAAGTCGCTCTTGCAAATGGCAGGCGTAGGGGCTCCAATAGGCCGTAAAAGCAAGGCCCTGGAATATCGACCTGGGGCCCACCAATTTTGGGGCAAAACTGGGATGAAGGATTGTCAAAATGTAAGGGGCAGTTTTCTTGAACCTTCTCCCTGGCGTTAAAATGGACACTTTTCTTGAACTTTCCCTGGCCTTTCGTGGGTTATCTGACCATGCGTACCGAATTGATCGCCCCTTCATGTAGACCAAAACATCCTCTAGAGATTTGGGTGGTTCGTTTTTTTAAAGGTTGGACCCCCAAACAAAAGGGGCAAACGGTTTCCCCTAGACCCTCCCTTTTGCCACCCCAAGTCCCGAACGAACCAAGAGCGAGCCCGGGTGACTCGCGGAATCGCGGGTGACTTGGCTCCCGAAGGCCATGCGGTTCCTTAGCCTTTTAGACTAGGTCCCCCAGCTAGGTGCCCCTTTACCGTTTCTTTTCTTGGGGAGGGTTCCTCCGCTAAAATGGAACTACTGAAACAAGTTGGTGCCAAATTATTCTACTTCTCTAATCTGGAGGACCTAGTAAATCTTTTTAGTGTTCAGTGGTCGTTTCAACGAATTTAACCCACTCAAAGTGAATCCCTTTTGGCGGGGCATCGGCCAAGTTGAGGGTCCAGGTACACCGGCGCTCTCCCATGCCTAAGTCTATTTGAGGGCTTCGGGTCCCGTTAAAGCCGCCCCCCCCCCCCCGGCCCCTAGAATCAAACATCACAACTGGGAGGGTTGCAGAATTTACCCCGCCAAAAGTGTTCGTCGCTTCTCGCGGATCAGAACCTGGGGCTGAAATTTGAGGAGCTGGGCACGTGGTCCGTGACCGTGGCGGCCGGGGCCTTCTTCGCCAGCTCACTGCTGCTGCTGGACATGCCCAACGCCCCAGGCACGGACTCGAAGCCGCGGCGCGAGGTGGGTGGGCCTGGCGCAAGAAGAATTCAGTTCGGTCCATGGGCCTAAGAAACGAGTAGGTGTTGTTTGTTTGTATGTGTTTGTGTTTTTTTCTTTGTTTTTCCGCCCCGGCCCGGTTGGTTGGGTATTCGTCCATTGGGGTAAGAATATGATTGAGTTTCCCTTGGTGGTTTTGAAGCAAAGCGAGTTCACTAGTGGAAATGTTCTTTTGTTTCAGACTTACAAAATTATTCCCCTCCTCAAGTGGCGACTTTAGTGGACACCACCAGGTTTTCAAATGCATCTGAAGGAGAAATCCAGTGACCCCTGGACAAAAACTGGAGCAGTAAATTGCATCTTGAGCTTCCATTTGCCGAAGCAAATATGTGTTATTTCCCTCGTTGGTTTTACAGTGAATCTATCACTACTGGAAATGTTCTGTTTTTGTTCAGTGGACTTGCAGGGGAAGAATTTTGCAACAGGACATTTCCAGTGAACTCGCTTCCCTTCAAAACCAAAATAAATCATATTCGTTTCAGCCAATAGAGCCTTCTCAGTGAACTAACATGGCACCTTGATAAACCTGGGTAATCCCAGCTCTTGAATCTTGAGCCACACCCAAGTCAGCCCTCGATTTGGGCGGGTCTGTTGGTTCGGAATGGGACCTTCCAAAATGGCAGCGGCTTCCCTCGTGGCTTCCATCTACCACAAACAGAAGGAAAGAACCTCAACTCAATTGATAGATTCCCGTAGTGGAAGATTCCCTGTAAAACCACAAAGGGAACATAATACATATTCTTAAACAAATGGAAGTTAGGTCCTCCAGATTTGAGAGGATAGAGCAAGGCTACCATTTTTTTTCTGTAGGTTGGGATCCGTTGGGTGAAACCATACCTACTGTGGATGGACAAAATCCTGCACCAGATTGAAACCATGGGAAACCATTGCTTGTTGGTATGTACAGGGGAATTATCATTCCAGGGTTTCTTAGGTGGTGCAGGTTTTCGTCCATCCACAGTATGTCTTTTGCTACGCGCACTTTTCTTTGCCGCGAACCGGAAGAACCCTCAAAGGAAACGGCGAGTCCGGCTTGGGGTGTCTTTTTTGCAAGCACTATACTGCACAAAAAGGGGGTACACGGACAATCATGTGTTTCCAGAGTCTATCCCAACAATGTGAAATGGTTTCGGAGGAGAGGTATGGACACCATAGAAAAAGGTATTAGGTATCTCCTCATTTGTTTTCTGAGGTGGTCGTGAAGTGCCCATGGTCGAGTGGAAATCCTGTTGGAGAGGGCTGTGGGAATCCCCCCTTCAGTTGTTTAGTTGGCTTCCTTTTGGTTCCCACGAAACAAGTTAAACTTTAGCAACAGTTTAGGGGCTACTTCCCCACTTTCCACACTGTCGGCATGTTAGTTCGTGATTGGGAGGCTGGACAGGGCAATCTGAGCGCGCTAGCGCAATTCCACCGGGGCCAGTTGGCTGTAGGGCAATGCAACGCAAGCAGCTGGCATCCTGTGCGCAGAGTAGAGAGCGAAGGTTCGGGCGACAATCAGCGAACGAAGCTTCTGTCTGGTGCCGATGCGCTGGTTGGCGCTGGGGGTTGCTCACCCACCCACCATTTCTCTATTCATGTTTTCGGGTGCAACAAAGTGTTTCGCTACCAGACCAAGGGTTGGACAGTATTTTCCAGGCAACCTCTCAGTTCACGTTGATGGTGGCTTTTTTCAGACCATACGCGGAACTCTGAGGAGTTCCTGATGGTCCAAAAGGTGTCAAGGATCCCCAAGATGGGCAGCCCAATGGTTTCTGTGGCCAACCACGAGAGATGAAGGATTCTGTATAGAGTGGAGACAACTGGATCGGCCCCACACACAATGGTTGCCTTAAGGGTTCCTCGTAAACTGTTTGCAGACGAGCGGTCTGCTGCATTGCAATGAGCATAGAAGCCAGTTGTAAACCCCAAAGGTCCAAAACGGCGCCTTTGTGACAAAACTCGCCATGAACGCAGATGGGTCTTCTCGAAGTGGACGGGGATTCCAAGCACTCGGGATTTTGGTTGCTGGTTTGGAGAAGCAAAAAGATGGCTATGTTTCTAAGGGTTGATTCCTTTTCCATTATTTTCAACCATCCTTCTTTCTGTTCCGTGGGATTCAAAGGAGGTTTTCTAGAAAGATTCGGATCCCTGGGAATAAAGGTAATGGAAGGTACCCCTTTGTTGGGGTTGATTCAACTGGGCTTCCGCCCTGTGTCAGGGTCGGTTGAAAGGAAGGCGCCACGTTTGGATATTTCCCTTTTCAGACTCAAGTTCGTCTCCAGGAGCCAGTTCACAGAGCGGTCTTCGGTCTTAGTGTCTTTGGCTTTCCCTTCCAAAACCCGCAAAAAATCGGGTCCCTGGCAAAGAGATTCCCATTAAAACACACCTACAGTGACTCCGCAAAATTAGGGTCCCTGGCAAAGAGATTCCATTCATACAAACTGACTCCAGCTTTTACTCGTTTGCAGCAAACAAAAATCAATTCTGGGGTTTCCCAAGCCATCCAGAAACGGCTTCACTTTTGAGAAATACCTAATTTTGGTCCATCCCTTTCCCCCACAAAAAAAAAAAAAAAAACTGGCTGAAATATCACAAACACCGAAAAAAACACAAACAAAAAACACCAACTGAAATATCACAAACACAATATGCAGCCCATTTAAGGGATTGTCCTTTTGTTGGTTGAGGCTTCTGGGGGTGGACTTTAACGCGAACAACGGAATCACATCGCATCGCTCCTGAAGGAACATCTGGAACATCTACTCATTTTGAGGGTTCCCCTATTTTGGTCCGCCTTTTTTGTTTTGGGGGGGGTTACCCCTTGTTTTTAAGGGAAACACAAAGGGTTATCCGCCACCTTTCTGGGTGCGATTTCTAAAAAACGCGACGAGCCACCCATATTGAATGATGACAAGTGTTAGACAATGTTCTTAAATTTAATCTACTATTCATTTTGTCCAAAAAAGAAACACAATTTCAATATGAATGTCATTTTTTCCACAACTCATCTTGTTTCAAAAATATTCGAAGCATGTCCGATTCCGCCCCCGGCTCTTCGCCGCCGTCCTGCTGTCAGGCGGCTCCTGCGCGGTCTTCGCGGTGCTGCAGCTGCTTGACTGCTAGTGGGCAACGGATCTTTAGACTTTAACTTTTTCGTTGAAATCAAGTTGGGTTTTTCCGAACTCAACCCCCAACAACTTCCCCAGAATTAGCTCCCCTGTTTGCTTTTTTGATCTTTTTTGGGGGTCACTTTGTTTTCCACTCACTAGGCAAAAAAAAAGATCTCATTTTTTGCTGGGGTCCTTTTTTTCCAGCCTAGAAAAGTGTTGTCCACTTTTTGCAGTCCTTGCAGCAACGAAGGCTTCTGCTGATCCTCTGGGCGCCCTTCACCCAGCGCTCGGCCCCGGCGCTGCTGGCGGCGCTGGGACTGCTGCTGCTGCTGCACCAGCTGCGCCTTGCATCGATCAGCGAGCGAAATCGGATCAGCGGAAGCGGAGGGTCAAATGCTTTCGGGGAGCCCCCCCAAAATCCGAATTTCTCAGTTGCCCAAAGCGAATCGACCGTTTCATTAACCTTTTGGATTTCCAATTTTGGTCTATCTTTAGTAAAGGCCCCAAAAGGTTAACCTTTGATTTCTGGATCCTTTGGGCGACTGAGAAACTCGTGTGGTTCTCTCTTTGGTTTCCCGAGAAAGCCAAACAACAGGTGCCCTCAAGAGGGAGACTCACATAATGTTGACCCCATATTAATCAGCCAGCCACTTTAATAGGGGGGTGTTCCTGGGTGAAATGTGGGGCATCATGCCACTTTTGGAGGGGAACGCTCTATGAATCCACTGGGGTTGATCAATATGGGGTCAACATGAAGCCTGGCCCAGCTCGGATGAACAGGGGATGGCCGTTGGTTGGAAAAACACCAACATGATGATATATACATAAATATACAAATATATAATATGTATATATATATATTGCTAAAAAAGGGGAGCAGTTACCCATTCGCCATTTGGGGGCCGAACGGAATATGGATCAACCCCCCCATTCAAACAGAGTTCCCCCGGCCCGGAATCCGTGACCGGTGGGTGGGCATCAAGGCTTCTCCCAGCCCGGCGGTGCCGGATTCGTTGCGTTTTTTGGGCGGGGAAAGCGGCGGTGAAGCAAGCAGCGTAAGAAGTTGGCAGGAGCCGATTGTTCTAACCTTGGCCACCGGTTACCGGCTTTTTGAAGGGGACACCTCTTGAAAAGCAACCAGATCAGAAGTGTGCCGATTTTGTGCCCACTGGTTGTAGGAGTGATGAAACAACTATATTACCTAGTCCCCCTTCAAAGGGAAGCCAAAAGGAGAGCGTTTGAATAAAGACGGACTGGACCATTTGTTCTTTCCCAGTTAATGGCTTTAGTTGCTCTTTGGGTTTTTGGACGATTTAGTGGTACAAAACAGTTCGGACGGAAGTGTTTTGTTGGGCAAAGCCACGTGGGGGATATCCCATGGAGGCCATCACCTTGGCGGTTGGAAAGATGGGCCAAAGTTTCGACGAGCCTTACTTGTGTCTTGGTTGGAGTTACCGCACTCCCTGAGTTGCTGGACTTTAGACACTTGGGTTTGGAGCATTTTCTAGGTCCCCCAGCTAGGTGCGCTTTTACAAACTTTTTGGTTGGGAGGGTTCCCCTAGTAAAATAGACTACCGAAACAAAAGGTACACTCGGATCCAAAGCCGCCTTGAGAAAGACACAATGTGAGAGGCTGGGTGCAATTCCCATGGAGGCGGCTTCTAGGCGTGTGTAGATGCATTGAAGCTACAACAACTCCTTTCACAAGGAATCCTTGCACCGCCTTGGGGTTGCCCGCAAAGCTGGTTTTACTGTTGTTACTACTATGATTATGATTATGATTATTATCATTGCTACTATTGTTATTGTTGTTATTATTGTGTTTGTGTTTTTCTTCTTACAATATATTGGTGTTTTTTTGATGTTGTAAGTATTGCTGTTATTATTGTTTTTTGTGTTGCTATCATTATTGTTGTGTGTTACTTTTGTTTTGTGTGGGCAAGCGCAATATGGATCAGATTTGGACCATATCAGTTTCTGCATTCCCCCCTTTTTGTTTCCAGCCCACCCCCAGAACTGTGGCCTGCCGAAAATTCTGGCCCATTGGCCTATGGTCACCTAGGAAGTGGAATCACTGGGCTGCGTGATCCAAGGTATCACCAGACCCAAACAGAACCGTGGAGACGCACGGAATTTTCAGGGAAACCCAAGAGGACACCGGCCGTAGGAGAAGCCACACATGAACCCCCCGTGGCTTTTTCACATTTCCTGGTTGAAATCTCGAAATGTGTGCTAGCTGCACGTATTGGTTGGGTGTGCTATCTGGTTGTTACTCACTATACCCTTTGCTCTTTTGTTTTAAAGAAGTATTTCTATTATTTCTATTTAAAGACAATCCATGAGAGGTAATCCAAAAAATCCAGTTCCTATGTGGATTGATTGGTTGCATTTCGGGTGACAGTTTGTTCATTTGGCATGTCCCGACCTTTCCAAGGACCGCAGACGTCTTCTTGCCGAAGCTGCGCTGCTTGGAACAAAACCGGGAGACTCCCAGGCAACGCGCGCAAGGAGTACTGTAAGTTCCTGAATGGTCTACTATGAATGGTCTACCAGGGATAGCCGGCTAAAGAAAAGCATGTCGTGATCACGCTATATGGGTTGTTTTTGTTTTGTGAGGGCAACCTGGTAACCTGTTTTTGTTTGGTAGTTTTGAAGGGCAATCAACAGGACTCAACTACCTTTGGGGGGGGTGCCTAAAAAGGACATGCCCTTGTGCACTGTTTGGATCTGTGGGAGCCGAGGTCTGCAGGAGGAGTTGAACCATGCACTGCAGCTGGCGATGTTCTATGCTCTCGGCACCTTCGTCCTGCTTGGCTTTTTGCTCTACAAAGCCGCTTGGGCTTGGAGAGGGGACATTGGAGAAGCGGATGGAGTCTTTGGCTCACTTTGTGGGTTCCTGGGAGATGTTTTTCTCCTACCTTTTTTGGGTTTGGACTATTTTTGGTGGGTACATCCAAGGTCCTGGATGTGAAGCTTGTTGGGTTTGGACCATTTTGGGTGAATCCAAGGCCCTGGATGTGAAGCCTTTTGGGTTTGGACCAAGGTTTGGGACTTTTCTTTTTGACCGATCCACTCGATGGGAAGTGAGTTCAGCGGGGGGTGGTCCGGGGGGGAACCTTCCCTGAGGCCCCCTAAGGGAACTCGGCGCTACCCAGCCCCGAACGTAGCTACCCCCAGCCCATGGATCCGAAAGGAAGCAACACCATACCTGGAGTCTCCGACCATGGGAGAACCTCAGACATGGGGAGGTTCCAATGTGGTTTCCCAACCATGTTTGAAGAAATCACAGGCAAACCACCCACAACTCATTTTGCTGCCCCAATTTGAGCAGCCGTAATGAGTTTTATCACTGATCCGCCGGGCCCGCCTTCCAAGAAGAGGTCCTCTATTGTTCTTCATGCGCAATGTTGGTCCATGTTTAAGCATGGCTTCAAAAATACTTCTGCATTCTTTGATCAGCTGTGCGGGGTTCATATTTTTGACTACGAATGAGGCAGAATCTGAGCATCTCATTTTTCGGCACACCGTTGAATTTCCCATCTATCAAATTCGGGGTTTCCCGGGCTCCACACCTATATATCCGAGCTCCAAACCATCAATATGCCATGCTTGAAGGGTACTTAGGAAGCGCTTAACAAGCCTGCTTGCAACCCACCCAGACTTATAACCATGGCTTTTCAGGCATATCTCGCCATGGAGTTATTACAAGCACTTCCCTCACGTACCCTCTGCCCCTTTACTTTCATTTGCTTAAGAATATGTTCTACTTTCCTAAAGGGAATCTATCACCACTGGATTTTTTCCCATTGGGACTTCAGCAAATGGAAGTGTACTTTGACCTCTCTTTGGCCTTTTAGTGTTTAGTGGGGATTTCCGAATTTAACCCACTACAAGTGAGTCCCTTTTAGCGGGGGATCAGGAAATCGGACAGCCCAGTTCCCTCACGCACCCTCTGCCCCGAGTGGGCGCTCGGTTTCGATCGAGGGGACTTTTCCAACCAAAATCTCAACCAAAAGAAAATGCAGGGAACCCCAAAACCACCGAACACCCCCCAAACCCCCCAAAAAAACCCTGAAACCCTGAAACCCTGAAACCCCCCTTGAAGTACCCCCCCCCTTTAAGTGGGCCATCGGCTTGGAGCGAGGACCAGCGGCACTGCCTGGAGGCCGCGGTGAAGGTCCGATGGAAGGCGCCGGCGGCGCCGCCGCCGGACGCGGCGGACTCGGCGGCGGCGGAGAAGGTGTGGGAGCCCAAGGCGGGGGGGTCTCCGCACGGCGAGCCGTGGGCGAGCCGCTTCTTTTTGTTTGTTCCCGCGTTTTTTTGGGGAGGTGTTTGGGAAAAAGCCGCTCTTTTGTGTTTTATTCCCTCCACCCTTTTTGGGGGAAGGTCCCTGGAAAAAGCCGTTTTTGTTTTTTTGTTCCCCCCACCTGTTTTTGGGGAGGTCCCCGCAAACAAAATTCCACTGCCCACGAAAGGAGGTCCGGAAATTCCAATCTCCGGCGATTCCCTTGGGCGGTGCCCCGTTTATGCATGTGTTTTTGTTTGGAGGGAAGGGGTTGAAAAAGCATCTGCCGCGAGGGGTCCCCCGATTTTGAGCATTTCTTGACGGGGAGAAGGGGGTCCCCTTGAATTCAACCAACTGAACAAGCGTGTGCTTCGATTTTTAGACGTTTGGACTTGTTTACTTTTTCGATTCTGGGAGTTTGGAGGTGTCAAGGTCAAAATAGGCATTCGAAGCCTTCAAAATGGGTAGGCGTCCCTTTTGGTTTCCCTTTAAACCGAGGTGAACAGAGTAATCCTGGCGAGGGGGAAGACAAACAAAACCAATGAAGGCTGTTCATTTCGCCCAGAAAATCTTAATCCTCTCTTTTGGGGGAAGTACTGCAGGGGCCAAGAAGGGGGTCAAAGAATATCCTGCTATTGGAGCCCCTGAGAAGGAATTGGAACCCAGTTCTTCATTTCTTTTTTTTTGGGGGGGTCCTGGTACCTTCCCTTGGTACCTTCTGAGGACGCAAGAGGCTATTCTAATTCCAGGCTCTCACTTTGCCTCGCGCAGGGGGAGGAGCCTTTGCCTCTGCTGGAGCCAGAGGACGACACGCAGGAGGGATTGATTGAGCCGTGGGGTTCGAGTAATTAGTTTTCCCCGGGTCCGGGTATCACTGGGGTAATTATTTTGACTGCTTCTGGGGGCTATCAAAGTCAGAACATGTGATTGTTTCCCTTTAACCCACCACTTCGGGGGTGACTTTGCTTATGTTAAAATAGTGAGGTCAGTAAGGGTGTACTTGGACCTCTCCCTCTGGACCCCCTACATCTTCAGAACGTAAGGGACCCGGGTGTGAGATCTCCTCTTCCAACACAGGCCAACATGAAGCCAAAGCAGGTCCAATCAGCTGGCGACCCGGCTCAAGGTTGCGCTTCCTGTCCGCCGCATCCGCACAGCCAGAAACTCTGCTGACAGCATGATGTTTTCTCTCTGCAAAAAGTCTTCATGGATTTTTGGTTTCCACCTGCAAGTGGAATCCTGCTTCGCGAAACAAATCTAAACCACCAAACCAAACCAAACCAAAGCAAACCACACCAACCCTACCTAGGACCCCCAGTACTGCCCTTTTACCCTTTTTTTTGGGGAGGGTTCCCCTACTAAAATAGACGTCCTGAAAAAGTTGGTACCAGATTATTCTAACCTCTCAAATCTGGAGGACCTAGCTACCCTCAACAGAAGAATACAAACAAGTCAATGAATAGAAACAAAAAAAGAATAAAGAAAGGCAACAAACAAACAAACATTAAAAAAAAGTTTGCCTAACGGGAGTAAAACCAATTGTAATAATAATCATCAAACAATAAGCAAACCAACCAACCCTACCCTTTTGGCAGGAGTCTCACAGGGTGCCCCAAAATGGAGGCATAGGTTATGACCCATGGCCAAGTAAACAAGAAAAAACACACCAAACCAAACCAAACCAAAGCAAACCAACCCACCAACCCCACCCTTAGCAGAAGTTAAACAATGCAAACCAACCCTACCCCTAACAGCAGCTATTCAAACAACCCTACCCGTAACCAGCCCACCAACGCTACGTACCCTCAACAGAAGTATATTAAAAGAAATAAGAAGAAAACACAATAACTTTAATAATACTCATAATGATAATAATAACAGTAAATGAATGAAAGAGAAAGAAACAAACACAACACGTGATAACAATAATAATAACAATCAAAAAAATCATACAACATTTTGGCAAGTAGAAGAAACGTTTGGCAGGAGTCCTGGCTCATGTTGGAGCAGCTGCCTATGGGTCAGCTCCTCCAACTCCAGCGCCACTTCGGCGCCGTTTGGGGCGAGTCGCACGGGGCGAAAGCCGACGAGGAGCACTGCTGAGGGGGGAGGCGCCATCGAGCGCGCGCGCGCGCCAACGAGCGCGGGTGGTCCCAAGGCGTTGTGCTTGACTGCTCTTGGGCAACGGAATTCTTCGGACTTTAACTGTTTGGTTGAAATAACGGTGTTTTCCACTAAACCCCCAAAAAGTTGTCAACTTTTTGCAGGGGGGTCAACAGCAACCAAGTTTAAGAGAAACGGTTTTCAAGGCATGATTTTGAGGAGACACTTCCATTTGCGGGTGAATATGTGGGGTAATTACTTAAGGTGCGAAATGTTATTTTGGTGGTTCAACCAGTGAATTGTCCGGTTCAACTTGGGTTGTTAGTTGTTTTTAGTTGGTTTAGGGGATGGGTGTCCAAATTGAAACCCACAAGTTATCTGAGTGAGGACAGTTAAGAATATGTTGTGTTTTCCCTTCTGGTTGCAACGGGAAGCCAGCACTACCATATTTTCTCCAGGGGACCTAAAGCAAATGGACGGGGATTAAATGCAGAAAGGGACCCTGTGAGCGTTGGGTTTTTGCACACACCTAATTTTGCTGCATTCTGGCCAAAACCGCAAAACTTGAGAAATCTAAAAAAAAGAAAAGAAAAAGTTCTGGGACAATGTGCTGGGGTCATGCAAACAGTTCTCCACCTTACCCCCCCCTCCTACAGATGTCAGGCTCCTGTCCAAAACCGGGAAAAAAAAAAAGAAAAATAAAAACCAAAAAAAAAAACAAAAAAAACATCGAGAAATCGAAAGATTTTGTCCAAAACCGAAAGAAACCTCGAGAAATCTTAAAACAAAAAGAGCCAAAGATTCCAGGACAATGTGCTGGTATCATGTAAACAGTCTGTTGGCCAGATTGTTTTTTTTTTTTTTTTCTCGAGGGTTCTTTCGGTTTTGGGCAAAATCTTTCGATTTCTCGATGTTTTTTTGATTTTGGATCGTTTCTTTCGAATTCCCGATGTTTTTTTTTTTTTTTTTTCCCCCGATTTTGGACACCTTCTTTTGACTTCTCGATGTTTCTTACTTATGAGGTAAGCCCAGCAGGAAGCAGCCAAGATAAGACAATCTGCAGCAAAAGCTTCAACACAGGACAGCTTTGCGAGGAAGAGCTTAGAAGGTTTTCCAAAAACAAGCAACAAGAAAACCAAAGGTGTGGCCAGCCCGACAACACAGCTTCAGGTGACAGCAAGCACGACAGAGTCCTTAGCTTCCAGCCAGCTTGCGCCCAGCCCCAGCCCAGCTAGCTTAGAGAAGAAAAGAAGTTTTTTGGAACACCAGAGCAGCAAGCCAAGAAGATAGAACCTGTGCTATCTGACAGGGTAGTTCCATACCAGAGGCAGCAGCAGAGCAAGCTGCAGAAAGAAGCTGCACTAGTGAAGTCAGCTTTCCTCCAGAAGCTAGCTTTAATTTTAGAAGCTAGCAGAGCTTGAGAAAGAAGACCGAGAAGAAGTTGTAACAAGACTGCGGTTTCAGAGAGAAGCAGGCAGACAAGGTGGCAGGCCTCCAGTTCTGGAAGAGCGTAGAGGAACTGCAGGTGGGCAGTTAAGCAACAGGAAGAAGGAAGCAAGAGCTTTTTGCCTTTCAGAATATGAAGCTTAGTGAAGAGATTCAGATGATTCTGGAAGAGGCTTAGCCTCAGAAGCAGAAGCTTGGGCAGTTGCAAGGAGAAAGTTCAAGATGAGCACGCAGAGGCTGGAAGATTGCAGAAGAGGTTTGCCAGAGCAGCTGGCGGAGGGAGAAAGAGAGAGTTTAGCAGAGAGATCTCTTGGCGAGCGGTTGCAGAAAAAAAGGAGTTATAGCCACAACGTTTCAAAGAATGAGCTGCTGAAAGAGTTCTTGGCCCTTCTGGTTGCAAGGGCAGAGAGATGCATGGTCAGGGCAGAGCTTTGCAGAAATGAGATGCAAAGGAAAGCTTGGCTGAAAGAAGCTGACTGTGCTCTGCAGAGAAAGACCAAGCTCCAGCAGAGCTCAAAGTATGCAGCTTCTTATGTAGAGAAGCTGATCCAATGGCTAGGTGCAGCTTACTTGCGCAAAGATCAGACTACTCGCCTGGCACCAGTTGAAGAACAGGTGCGGGCCCAGCTCACCTTCCAGGATATTGACAGAAAGCTCTGGCATCTAGGTGCTGCTCCAGTTGCTGAGCTTGAAGATGCACATTTGGTTGCAGATGCAGAGATGATAGTTGAGAACCGATCCTCACTGGTAATCGGCACGAGTGATCAAGTCCCACTTTGGGCCAAAGCTCCAAGCAAGAAGTTGGTCTTCTCAGCAGATGAGCTCAAAGGTGCCAGTTGGGACGACAGAAAGAGGTGGACTGAGATCAGGGAGGAGCTGAAAGCTGCTGAAGTTCAGGCAGCTGCAGAAGGTTGCCACCTTGTCAGTTGGGCAGATGTAGGAGCAGGGCCTCTCAAAGTTGCAGGTAATAAGGTGATGACAGGACAAAGTTCAGATGAAAAGTTTCGTATAACATACGGAGCTCGCCAGAAGATTTACAACATTGCAGCTCCAGCAGGAACAGCTCTGCAAGGCGACTACTGCGGCGCAAGGTGGGCATAGGTAGCCATCCACGATCTCCTTGAGATCCTCGTAGCTCATGTCTTCTGCTGCAAGTGCCGTCTTAGCCCAGAGTGGAGGGTGGGACGACTCAGTGCAGGATGCAGATGGATGAGATGCAGCTGGCCAAAGTTGCAGCGCAGATCGCGGTCAGAGGATATATGCACACATAACTGCACACAACCCCCCAATTTGGAAAAGCACTTGTTTCACATGGAAAATACCCACGCTGAGGGGGTCCCCCTCTGATTAAATGCTGCTTTGGTGCCGAGTGGGGGTAAATCCTAGTACTTGTGGGTACCTTAAGCGAGCAGACAATATGTTGGTTGATCCCGTTCCGACACCGCTTCCAAGCTCAATTTCAATTTTGGCGTACCTTCTAACATCGAACCTGACTAGAAGACGATTCTTCTTGCAAAGGGTATGGTGGTTTCCGCGACAACGTGGAGGAGGGTATGTGTCAATTTGGAACGGTGATTGTTCTTTGGTGTCCCTTTAAAGCCAAGCCCAAACAGGAATCGATACCACAAACAAACGCTGCAATTACAGCACCGGTTTCCAGGCATCCGTACCTTCCCGGTTGGCATTCAGGCCTTTTGGCTACACGAACTAAAACATGAACAGAACATACACCGTACAGCGACATAGCACCCGTGTTCACTTATGGCTATGAATCTCCATAGCGCACCCCTCGAAATTTGGCGGGTGGACCCAAATCCCCTCATAAATGACCAAATGGCCATGGACATTGGAGCCAAGAGGCCATAAAGAGCATAGCAGAGGGACCCAAATCCCCTCATACATGCGTAACTGGAGCCATAAAAAAGTGCTCCAAGTAGCACAAAAAGTCACGGGGTAGCCAACCCCACCTTGGGCGCATCCGCTTGTCATGTTTCACTGCGTGTCAAACGCATCACGCCAAAGGCGCAGTGCAATTCGAGGAGTGGAAAGTGCGGAACCAATAAGTACTGCGCTGCTGCAGATTCACGTTCCAGGGTGGTCTCTGGCTGCTTTGTGGGACAATCCAAGACGTTGCCTATGTGTTTATGGGTTTCGAGTGCTTGGTGGTAATCGGCGCGAATCGGCCGGTTCCTTAGGCAGGGCTCCTTAAAAGAGATACATTTTGCGACCATTTGAAACATGGCTTTTTCCACCAAAATGAAGGGAAACCACCATTTACAAGGCAATGTTCAGGTGTACAATGTAAGGATCCCTGTTCGGTGCTTTAGGTTTTGAGTTGGTTTTGTTGGGTTAAACTTTGAGGAGGGGATCTGACAGCCCAGTTTGGGGATCCAGTTCTGATTCAGGTCTTCGAGTTGTATTTGCAGCTCAAGATCTTGCAGATCCCTCAGCATGTCATTTTTCTCGCCTAGGTCCCCTAGTAGTGCCCTTTTACCAACTTTTTTGGGGAGGGTTTCCAACAGAAAAGTTCTAACCTCTCTACTGGAGGACCTAGTCGCGCTGTTGGGGAAAAACAGAAAGGGCTCTGGATAGACCATTTTCAGACCGGGTTTTAATTTTAACTCATCTTTCCGTTGCCAAGTTGAAGCTTTTGGGCATTTTGCTTGGATTTTAGGACTTCAACTTTTTGCCAACTAATGGGTTTCCTTATCAAACCACTAAAAGTTATTCACTTCCAGCAGGGGAGCAGAGCTAGCAACCGAGGAAGTGAGTTGTCCTTAGATTCGTGTTGAAGGGGAAGCTTTAGGCTTCCAAAAGATGCCTCATACGAGGAAACTCACCAATCGGCCCAAATGATGTTTTACTTGGGCGGCCTGGATGTCGCCAAGTCAATCAAAAGTTGACCAGTGTATAGGTGGGTTCCCAAGACGTTGCCCCACTTTGGAGGTTCAAAAGGGAAAATGGCTCGGAACCCCTGGTTTAAACTCTTCCATTTGCTGAACAGCATATATGTTTAAAAAGAACAAAAACTGATGTCTTTAATTTAAAAGGGAATCGATTTCACCACAGAGAACATGTTCTTGTTTTTGCCCAGGGCACTGAAACGCACATGCAGGAACCACAGCAAGCGGTGCGATGGTGGGAGTGAACTTTGGGGTCTCAAAGGAAGCCACCTGATGGATTACTTGGTGGCAAGCCCAGCCATCTGGTCCTCTTAGATGTTTTTTAGTTGGTTTAGTGGTACTTTCAACGAATTTAACCCACGAAAAGTTAGTCACTTTTAGTGGGGGATCAGAAATTGGGCAGCCCAGTTTAGAAATTCGTCATTCCATGTTCCCATTTGGAAACGACCCAGTTGGGTGGTTGAGAAGTTGCTCATCTTCCATTTGCTGAAATGAATAGGTTTGTTCATTTTCCCCTGTTGGTTTCAAAGGGAATCTATCACTACTGGAATTATTTATATTTTCCAGAGGACTTCAGCAAATGGATCTTACTTTTTCCAGGGGACATCAGCAAATGGATTTTACTTTTTCCAGGGGACTTCAAATGGAAGTCATATGTCTCATTCCCTGCTTATCTCTGGCACCAAGTTGACCCCTACCGCAATTCATGTTTTTCTAGGGGTTGATTCCCCATTCTTTTCAACAATCCTTCTTTTCAAAAACCGATCGCTGTTTCCCCTGGGTTTCTGATGGTTTTCTGGAAAGATTCGGATCCCTGGGTTAAGAATGGAAATGGAAGTGCCCCCTAGACTTCCCCAGAATTAGCTCCCCCTTTTCCTTTGTTGCTTTTTTTGGGTCCCCCTTTTTTGGATCCCTGGAAAGAATGGAAATGGAAGTGTCCCCTAGAGTTTTGCGCCATATGCCGAGGCCATGCAGGCGCAGCAAGTCCTCTCGGAGGCCGTTCCTGGGTGAGATCGGCGATGGGAAATGACAACGAGCGGGGGTCCCCCCATAGGTGTCCTTTTTAGGTGAGCCTGGTTAAAAATAGATGGCACTGGTTTAGATGGGTTTTGTTCCATTTACCAGGGCCATCTATTTTTTCCAAAAGGCCACCTATGGCGGTGGTCATAAGTGTCCTTTCATAACTTCATAGGTGTTCACAGGTGTTCATAGGTGTTCATAGGTGTTCATAGGTGTTTTTAGGTGTTCATAGGTGTTCAGTGTTCACAGTTGTTCATAGAGGTTCATAGGTGTTCATAGGTGTTCATGGAGGTTCATGGGTGTTTATAGAGGTGTGTTCATAGGTGTCCTTTTTTAGCTTCATAGGTTCATACATGTTCATAGGTGTTCATAGAGGTTCATAGGTGTTCATAGGTGTTCATAGGTGTTCATAGGTGTTCATAGGTGTTCATAGGTGTTCATAGGTGTTCATAGAGGTTCATAGAGGTTCATAGGTGTTCATAGGTGTTCATGGGTGTTCATAGGTGTTCATAGGTTCATAGGTGTTCATAGGTGTTCATAGGTGTTCATAGGTGTTCATAGACGTTCATAGGTGTTCATAGGTGTTCATAGGTGTTCATAGGTGTTCATAGGTTCATAGGTTTTCATAGGTGTTCATAGGTGTTGATAGAGGTTCATTGGTGTTCATAGGTGTTCATAGGTGTTCATAGCTTCATAGCTGTTCATAGGTGTTCATAGCTGTTCATAGGTGTTCATAGAGGTTCATAGGTGTTCATAGGTGTTCATGGGTGTTCAAGGTGTTCATAGGTGTTCATAGATGTTCATAGGTGTTCATAGGTGTTCATACAGGTTCATAGATATTCATAGAGGTTCATACATGTTCGTACGTGTTCATAGGTGTCCATAGGTGTGCATAGAGGTTCATAGGTGTTCATAACTGTTCATAGAGGTTCATAGGTGTTCATAGGTTCATAGAGGTTCATAGGTGTTCATAGGTTCATAGGTGTTCATATGTGTTCATAGAGGTTCATAGGTGTTCATAGGTTCATAGGTGTTCATAGGTGTTCATAGGTGTTCATAGGTGTTCATAGGTGTTCATAGGTGTTCATGAGTTTAAGTACTCCTTTTTCCCCAACAGCTGAAAGCTTTGTGGTCTCAGCCCAGATAGGCTCCGGGGTGGTCCGGGGCGGCCCTGAGGAAAGGTTCCACTAAAACGAGCACCGCATGCTGTTGGGGATATCACCTGAGCTTATTTTATTAGAAATAGCTGGCACTGGTTTAGACTGGTTTGATTTTGTTTACCAGGGCCATCTGTTTTTGCAAGAGGTCGCCGATGGCGGTGTTGGGAATGAACCGGGTTTGGGGGGTTCCCGAATAAAGGGAACCCAAATCTGGGATGGTTTATAGGGGTCATTCCATTTCTCGTTCCCTGCTGAGAAGCTCGGGGGGGGGGACCTCAAAAAGCGGTGGTTGTCCAAACCAGTTTCTGGCTTTAAATAATCGCTGAAAAGGGGACACACACACGCAACACAGACCCATATGAAACCGCAGTTTCAAAGATCAGCTTTTGGTTGCAATGTTCAAGTCGAGGTCTCCTTTTTGGGTGATATGGAAGGACAAATTTTGTAGTTGCACTTCCCATTCTTGGGATCCTTCTTCCAAAACCAGAGGGAACCTTCCCAAGAGAACAACCTGAAGGGTATTTGCTAGCCAGCTGCAAGGCCGAGTTTGCTTTGTTCTTTACATGGAGGTTGATCAAGAGTCCGGTGGGCATGGCATGACCATTGGGGGGAACCACACAAAAAAGATGATATGGGTTTGCCTTTTTTGTGGGGACGCCCAAAGATGGTTAAACGGTTCCTGTTGGGTTCCCTTCAAATCCCACGAAAAAGGGGGATCCAACAAAAAAAGACAGACCCATATGCCAAACGAAAGGGGGAAACGCTCCGCACGTTCAAAACCGGGTACTGATGGGAATATGTTGGTCAACCCCCACATGGCCCTCAAGCAGGGAAACAGGGGGGGCTCCCAGACGCGAAGCGTGGGGCGGTAGATTGCCCCCCCCCCCGAGCATGACCAGCGGCACCAGACGCCGCACCCCGACTGCATACGCTTGGGACGGATCGTGGGCATGTTACCGGCATTGGGTCCCACGCCGCTCGGTGGGACGCACAGACGCGCAACTTCAACATCTATTCCGCCTACAACAAGAACCACCGCATCTTCGCATGGGATGCTCCAAATCCGGGCCACGCATCACGCCGGCGTCATCAAAATGGGTCATGTTCATAAAGCCTACCACTAAAACGATCAGTTTCGTAATTGCGAAACCATGAGGGCAGCGGTTGGCTTGATTGTGAATTAATCATAAGGAGATTCCCTTTCATATATGTCCTATGGCCTTTCTTGGTAGAAACTACGCAAGTACAACCAGAGGGCCTTCATGACTTCCAGCTAGAGGTGGCGTGCCGTGCGTTTGGTCACAAGTTTGGACCGCGAAAAGTCGGTCGGCGCCCGCGTGCAGCGGGCGGCAGGCAGAAGAGGCCATACGGCAGCAGAAAGAGAGGCGGCTGCCTGTGCTTGACGGTCATGGTCTTCCATTTGGTTAAGAACATGTTTACTTTCCCTTCTGGTGTTAAAGGGAATGTATATCCCTACTGGAAATATGGGCTTATGCAAATGGAGGTGAGGTAGGCCCACTTTCTGCTCACTTGCCCAAAGCCGACCTTGGACCTGTTGGTTGATCTGTTTTGGTCTGTGTGCAGTCAAGGTGCCAAAAGATTAACCTTTTACCCTCCCACCAATTAACATCTAGGTCCCCCAGCTAGGTGCCGGTTCCCCTACTAAAATAGACTACAGAAGATTCTAACCTCTCTACTGGAGGACCTAGACGAACCTGCCAGGGGGCTCCTAGAAGATAGTTTTCCTTTTAAAGCGACCCCCTGTCAGGTTCCATGTTAGTTGGTGGGAGGGTATTCCAGACTTTTTGGGTAAGTGAATCTGTGATAATATGGGGAGTACCAAAGAGACCCCTGAAAAGTGACAAAGTAGTCATAAGGATGGTCCATGAAAGGGTTCTTTTCCACCCGGTCAACGCAAATAGCCCAAGGACGTCCATTTGCATAAATTGCTGTTTGCCCCGGCTGGTTTTAAAAGGAAATATAGCATAGGATTTGTTTTTCCCCGGGGGACGTATTGGCAAATGGAAGTGATAGCATTAGATCGCCCGGGCCATGTTTGTGGCTTGGACACCCTCAGGCACAGACAGTGAAGCTTCCAGGGCCCGAGTTGCGGCGGTGTTCCGTGATTTCCATGGTACCTAGGTTACAACCATGGTTTTAGGTTCCCCTTATGACTATGATTATGACCTACTTACTTAATTGCGTGAACATCCAAGTCTAAGTGTTTTTGTTTTTTGTTCCTCTCTTTTTTCTCCGTAAATGTAGTAGAGCAAGCACACACACACACACTATTGCTACGAGGGGGGGGGAGGGAGGACGCATGATACTTTTGCGACATTTAGGGAATTCGCCACGGCTCTCTTGTCAGGTCCGCAAGGGCTGTTTGGGCCCATTACATGGTTGTTGTTGAGAAACATTTTACATCTTTGCTGATTGTGGTTTAGTGGTTGAAGTCCAACTCCACTGAACTGCTAAAAAAAAATGCCCCCCTTCCAACGTCAACCAAGATGAATGAGTGTGATCTTGTCAGCCTTCAACATCAGAAGGGCTTTGAGTGACCTCCATTTCCTCGTCATTTGGTGAGTCACTCAGCCGTAGGTCCACCCAGCTGCCCTTTCTTACCAACTTTTTTGGTTGGGAGGGTGCCCCTACTAAAATAGACAGAAACAAGTTGGGGCTACGGAGTACGGGCTTGTCAAGCAGCAAACTCTGGCTCGTGGAGGCTGTTTGAAGTGCTCAACCATGCTTATCCTTATACCCAGGAGAAAACGTGTGGGAAAACATCCTTTGAAGAAATCATATGGCCGTGGGTCAACACCAATCCTTTTGGGGTAGGTGAATTCACCACCCATTTTAGAACCTATTTTAGTGGTTGGATTGGGATGTTCACCCGGGGTACGATTGGGGTTTTGACCCATAGCCATGTTATGTTTCTTGGTGGCTCTCAGCCATCCCCTTTGCTGTTTAGCCTTTTAGTGTTTAGTGGTGGTTTCCATGTAACCCACTAAAAGCTAAACTTTTAGCGGGGGATCTGAAAACGGGCAGCCCAGGTTTGACCAGGGCCCCGGTAGCTTCCTTCCCGCCACTTTCGCTTTGGTATCACTGGCTGCTTGCTGCTTCGCAGGGAGCTGACGCTGGGGGCCGTAATCAAGCGCCTCACCAAGGTGGACAGAGCGGCTCAAGCAGCAAGAAGCCTTTTGCCGTTTCAGCCGCTTAGGTTTATAGCTCCTTGACTGCTATTGGGTTGGATCTTTAGACTTTATTTTTTTTTGGGAAATCAAGGGGTTTTCCACTAAGCCCCAAACAAGTTAAACTTTTTGCAGGGGGGTCAACAGCAACCAAGGCTCTGTGTCCAAATAGGGAGAACAAGGAATTGCGTCCAACTCGTGGTTTCTCTTTGAAGCAAGCCCCAATCGGGTACCCCTTAAACGAAGACTAAATACCCATGGTTTCCCCATGTCAGCGAGAGGTATGAACAAGAGCACGCCCCTTTATTTCAGGTTACCTTGGGAAGGTCGTATTTCTCCGTTCATGACTCGTTGCTCTTTGCTTGCGGGGTTTCTTATTGTCGGTATGCCCGGATCAAGTGTGAGTGTGTGTGTGTGTGTTGTGTGTGTGTGTGTCTTTGTGTCTGTGTCTGTGTCTGTGTCTGTTTCTGCGTGTGTGCGCGTTGTGAGATTTCGTTTGGTACACAACAGAGTTCAAGATATCCCCACAGGAATCCGGCACATACTGAGGTCTTGAGGTCTGTCTCCAACAAAAAGACAACCAGGAGAGGTACTCTAGCTTATAACCCGCGTAAATACATCCCCCATTAAGTAGAGTTAACCTTTTTGGATGGTTAACCCCCATGTGGCTAACCACTTACGAACTTAGCCGAACATCCAAGTTCCAAAGCAAATCAAGGCAGCTCGGATGAGGAGACATTTTTGGTTATCACATCAGCGGCGTCACCGTCACCACCCCCCCAATTTGGAAGAAGCGCAATGAGTTGCGCACAGAGCACGTGGATGCTTGCAAACTTGGACATCCCCCCCCCCGTTCTTGTGTAGTTGGGGGACCTTTTCCACCCTCCCCTCCTTAATGGGGATCACGCCATCCCTTGAAAACCGGGTGAGGCTTACTTCCATTTGCTGAAAGTACTATTTATGTGATCTTCCCTTTTGGTTCTTGAAGGGAATCTATCACTACTGGACATATGTTTATTACTTCCAACTACCTAAGAACATGTGTGTTTTTTCTTCTTGGTGGCTCCCAGCCATACCCTTAGCCTTTTAGCTTTTTAGTCTTTAGTGGTAGTTTCCATTTAACCCACTAAAAGTTACACTTTTAGCGGGGGATCAGAAATCGGGCCGCCCAGTGTTCTTGGGTTTTTAAATGAATCGACTTCACCGAAGTTTGTTTTTCCAGGTGCCCCAGCTAGGTGCCCGACCTCTCACCCAACTTATTTGGTTGGGAGGGCTCCCCCACTAAGATAGACGGCAGAAAAAAGTGGGTACTAACTTATTCGAAGCTCTCAAATCTGGAGGACCTGGATTAGACAATTACATCGGGCGAGCCTTTGAGGCAGAATGTCGGGGCCAAGACCTGAGGTGTCACCTGAGGCATGTTTGGGCTTTTTCCTCCGGGGGCTCGCTCACGGAACCCGCGTATCTTGGCGGTTTGAGGTGCCGGGCACTGAGATCGTGAAGATGGTGACCTTGATGGGTGTCAAGGCACGTTCCGAAGAGCGCGCTCTTCGCGTGTGTTTTGTTTCTTCTTCTTTTTGTGGGGGGTCGAGTTATTTCGGGTGGTATCAGGGCTCTTTTCTCTCTTTTTTTTGGGGGGGGAGTCGTGGGTTTGTTTTTTTCTTTTTTTTACCGGGGGAGGGAGGGGGGTCGAGTTATTTAGGGTGACGTACCAGGGCTCCACTTGTGGACTACCCCAGGGCTCAGGGCAAGCTTTCATACGCCCCCCAGAACGCGGAATGCGCTCTTGTTTGCCTTTTTTTTTGGGGTCGAGTTCGTTCGGGTTACGTACCAGGGCTTCACTTTTTGACTTTAGGGTCGACTAAAACTCATGGCTCATTCCCCCAAAAGGAGAACCCCTGGGTGTAAGTCTATCTTGGTAGTCAACC